AAGATATTTTCTCTCCTCCGAGAGAAAATAATCGAGAGTCTCTCTCTCTCTCTCTCCTCCCCCTTCTTTCTTTCTCTTTTTTTCTCTTCTTTGCCTGTCGCTCCTTTTTTCGTCGCGACACGCTTTACTCGCCAAATCGCCGGTTTGATCGAGCTTACGACGACGACGACTTACGCGCGATTTCACATTTTGCCGCCTCCTTGCGGCCAATTTCGAAAATTATCGGTTGAACCACCGTGAACCACCCACGTGTTGCGTCCGCCGGCGTGAACGAAGCGAGGGAAAAATTCTGCGAGACGGAATAAGAGAGACAGAGAGAGAGAGAGAGAGAGAGAGAGAAAGAGAGTGAGAGAGAAAGAGGGGGGAGGAGAGAGGAGATCGAGGAAGGCGAGGAGGAGCTTGAGGCGTACGGTTGCACGCGCGAGAGCATTATGCAAGAGCGGGGACCGGCATCGACGCGTCCTTATTTGCGGAGGGCAATTTCGCGAGTATCCGAGCGAGAGAAAAAAGGGCGAGAGGTGAATCGACGGACGGGGATTATCGCGGAACAAAGTCGAGCCACCCACGTGGCCGAGCCAAGTGCAGCTAAACGGCCGTCTGTGCACGTGGATAATGGGAGACGCGCGCTTGGCAATCTGATAACGTACACGCGATGATTCTTGGTGACGTACGATCCGCCTACGCAATCCACCGTCGAAATGGTCCCTCGCGAGGGGGATTCGCTAAATCGGTGACTGGGACATGTTATTCCCGGATTGATAACGACGCGAAAGAAGCGATGCAATTTTTCAAACGATGAGTGAAATTGTGACTCAGTCAGACCAAGCTTATGTCGACTTTAATTTCGAAGGCTTGGTTAAGGATATAATTTAGAAAGTTAATACATCTTATTCACTATTTCCATTACAGAATGGAAGTTCAAAATGACGCGCGAGGCACTCTGTGCTGCTGTTGTACAGCAATGAAATGATCTCTCATGAAATCCTAAATCGATAATTGAAGTATGTTATCTCTAGATTAGTAACAGCACAAAAGAAGTAACGCAATTTCTCAAATAATGAGTATATAATTAGTATATAATTACATAAATAAAAGTAATTATATAATAAATAAAGATAATTTCTCAAATTGTGACTCAATCAGATGAAACTCATGTCGACGTTAATCTTAAAGATTTGGTTGAGGATAACTTAGAAAGTTTCACTTATCATAGCGTTCGAAATAATTCCTCGCGAGGAAAATTAACTAAATTGACGGTTGGAGTATGTTATCTCTAAATTATGGTAACAATACGAAAAAATTGATGCAATTTTCCAAACCTTGAGTAAAGTTGTGATCCAATCAGGCCAAACTCATATCGATGTTAATCCCGAGGACTTGGTTAAGGATAATTTAGAAAGTCAACATCTCGCTCACTATTTCTATCATAGAACGTTGAAGCTAGCGCAAGACACTCGATGTTGTTGTTCCGCAAGCGGCTCTTCTTCTTCTTCCTCCTCTTTATCTAATCTTCCCGGGTCGTTATGTAGCAGGCGTAATCGATTCGTCCGGGACCGTGCATCACGGTTTATAAAAAGGTCAGCCCGCTGACGTAAGCGGTATCGGAGTTAAATAACGGCTTAGACGGCCAGACGGCGGCCGAGCGGCAGCGAGAGTGCAATTAAGAGATCGCGTACCGATAAAAGCTTCGAAGACCAATTAATATTAATATTCTGCCAATCAGCGGGTCTCGCTCACTTCACGTTTACCCCGATTTGCTTTCGTACCGTCGCCCGGGTTCCACCGACCACCCAGGCTTCGACAGTGCGATCGATCTTGCGCGGACTCGTTTCGATTCAGATGAACGGACAACTCTATTCGCGAAGTACGACGCGAAGGAGCGCTATTAGCGCCGACGTGTCGACGTGACAAAGTACGGGACTGTGAAGGCCGGGGGTAACGTTGGAAATTTGAGGGTAGTCAGTCAGTCGCGGCGCGCCTCACGTAGGACAGAGAGACTCGGGCGAACGTTATTATTCCGGGCTTTGAAGTCGACAACGTTAATGCGCGCGTGACTCGTCTTTGATCTCTGACCGGGTAAGTAATTAGATGCATCGGGCATGCACGAAATTGCATGCACGCACGAGCGTATTTCGAGGCTTTATGCAAAGGCCCCCATCTCTCTGTCTGCGTCCTCCGACGCATCCCTTACCCTCTCTGTCTCGGGCCAGCGTGCGTGCAGGCACGCATCTCCTCTCGCTCCCTGTCGAATAACTTCACCAGATTCCACAATTTATCGTTTACAACCCCGGCCGCTTTGTGGTAACTTATATTCCCCGCGTGATCTCCATCATCTCTCGGCGAGATCTCGATCTCTTCGGGATCCACGTAGACCCACGGCGGGGATTAGCGCGTTAACTCTTTCGAAATAGCACGTGCTCTACGAGCGCGCCGGCCGGCATTAAACGCAACGTTTAATCGACTCTAAGGGGAGAGAAAGAGAGAGAGAGAGAGAGAGAGAGGAAGAGAGAATTAAACGAAGCGAATGCGCGAGGCGTGGCGATCGGCGCGCAATTGGCTTTTATGGCCTTCGTAAACGATGCGTTTTTAATTATTATTCAAATAAAAGCAGCTCAAGAGTGGAATATTCCGTGCTCGTGTTCTTAATCCTTTACGGTGATCACGGGATATTGCGGGAGAAGAACAACGACGATAATCACCACGCTCATCTTTGCTGCATAATTCGCGTCTCCGCTGTCAGGGAAAATCGCTTCTTTTTTCCCGTCTTGTGACGATTGTGCCGTTCGTTTCGTCACTCGTCGGCGTTTAGCGTGAGCGAAACTTTGCGCCGTCGACGGCGCAATCCCCGTGTGACGAATTGCGTCCCTGCCCGCACACGTGGTACGCGATTGCGGCCATAAGACGGCGGGAGAGCGAGAGGAGGAAGGTTCGCATAACGCAATTATCCGTATTAACATAGCTGGCCCGGTGGTCCGCGTTCACGGTAGCGTGGCGGGTTGCGCGCGCGCTCCAGGACGCACGGATCACTTTAACGTGGTACAGGGTAAGCACGGCACAGCACGACCGTGCCTCGCAACGATGCAATTTCGTCCTGGAGCACATTATCCCTGCCAGTGCGCGCGCTTGCGACGGAAAATTGATAAAGCAGAGTGAACGCTACTTGCGTCAGCCGGCCGGCTAACCTGGCGAGATCTCGTACAAGTCGCTCCTGAAAGATCGAGCGCGGTGTTGGTCCGTAATTGATATCTCTCATCATTCATCGCTCCGCAAAGCGGAGCGAGGTGACATCAACGGCCGATATCGGAGCGGGTCGCTTAACGACTCGTAGCTGTAACGCCTCGAGTAACGTGACACGCGTCGCGCCTCGGCCTGAATCGCTTTGAGTTAATTATCTCGGGATTAATTGTCGTGGCAGTCATATTTTATCGTGGCGCTGTACATACTACGTCCGGTGACGCGGGCTTCTTTTGTCAACGGGCTCGGAGAGAGGTGAAAAAGCGAAGACTAATGCTGTCGATTTAATACCCCGAAAGACTCCAAGTCGAGTCAGTTATCACGGAGTCTATTACACTTCTCTCAAATAATGCATTGCGAAATCGTTCTTTTATAGAGATTGATGCACAGGGCGTGGCTCTAGCACGAGCGAGAATGACGTGAGCGGAGGAGTGGAGATGAGAGAAAGAGGTAGATAGAATGAGAGAGAGAGAGAGAGAGAGAGGGAAAGAGGAGACGGAAGCACAAAGAAAACACGGTGGAAAGCTGCGAGGAAGAGGAAGAATCTCTCGGGATTGTTAACCAAAGGAGAGGGGAACGCCCGGTATGTTCTTCACAGCCTTTTCTTCCTCCAGCGTCCTCCGTATTTTCGCGTCGCTCCTCTTCTTCGCCAGGAAGATCGAAGCCTGCTTTACGAGGCAGTCTTGTAAGTCGATCGTTATGCCTCGATAATGCACGTACTCGAATACGCGCGTGAAGCGTGTATGGAATATTATAGCGTGACATCGCGAGACATAAAGCTGCCTCCTCGTCCGGCTCACGGTACCAGCGCAAAAGATATAAACGGGAAACGAGGTAAATCCCTCCTTGCTCTACGAGCCGTCAATTGTCGTCGCGCAGGGTGGTCCCCGTTTCATGGATCTTTCGTTTCTTTTTGCATTCGGCTGCAACGATATCCGGAATTGATCGCGCGGAAAAATCGCAATTACGATATTCGTTCCGACATGTCGTCGCCAGACACGCCCGTATCACTGAGAGAAATTCTCCGGCGAGAAATTATCAAATGGTTATTTCCAGATATCATTTTTATACCCGATTTCCGATTGTAATTCCGGCGTTTTATCCGATCGAAAAATGAAGAATCCGATATTTCTCATCGGATGTCTCCCGGTTGGATATCGAAGTAGATCTAATCGGATTCCGATCGGAGATATACACTTTTATTATTATCTTTTTTTTATTATTTTATGTTAATTTTCTCTCCAGTCCAGGAGTTCCGCCGCGATGCTCACGCGGCCCTCTGAGAAAAATTCTGTCGGCGCCCATGTCTAGGTCGTGTTGGTCTAGGTTGTGCTACGAGTCGCCATCGGTAAATACACGGGAAAAAAAGAAAGCTGCTTTCGACACGCTCGATTCGGTAATTATGACACCTCGCGCTGACTTTTCGCACCTGCCGCGTACCGGTTCTCTCACCACCCAGATCGAGGATCGAAAGTCTCTTGGCTACCTGGAGGCCATTGTACTTACCTACGATCTCTATCCTTTATGTTCACCGATTTTTTGGTCACGTCTTTTATGTCGCTTGATCTCAAAGTATTCAGAAGAACAAAGACGAAACATACCTATGACTAATAATTCTCATGCCGAACTATTTGCACGAGTTTTGCAGGGTTTCCCCCCTGCGAAAATTTCTGTCGACAGAATCTTGTAGCTTTTCGCGAAACTCATCGTCAACTGTAGTGCGCGCGAGCCGACTCGAATAACTCTTGTCTCGTTGTGTGTTACAGATTTAGCGGACACCAGTATGTTTCGACAAGAAGGAGTCACGACTTATTCTCAGCTGCTTTTCGACGTGGCGCGGCAGCAAGTCGTCGTAGGAGCGCGGTATGTATTTCCGTCGTAAGCTTGTCTTCGATTGCTAGAGATTAAATCTAACTTTAGATTTGCTAGATATTAGAAATACGAATAGAGAGAGAGAGAGAGAAAGAGAGAGATATCCTATCTTCATCCAGTTACGAATATAGTAAAGATTTTATAAATATATTTACTCGTTTTTTTGTATTTGACTTTTCAATTTGACGTTTGGAAATAATTTGTGTGAGTGCAAAGGACAACTTTAAGCATACTGAATTGCGAAATTCAGCGACATTGAGTTCCTCATCAGATCGCACTCATATTTATCACATAGAATGACAAGATACGAAAGAAATGTTCAAAATTTGCCCGAAACAACATGTTAAATGTAATATAAAAATCTGAGTGTAACTTTTAGTGAATCTATCATTGCACTGATACAACAAAAAATTAAATTTATAGTATGATGTAAAATTAATAATTAATTCAATGCAGCGTATTCTCTTCTTATAAATGTAATGAAAGGAGTTATGAAGTTTTCAACATCGTGACTGTTTCGCGTCGGGTTAATCATAAAAGTCCACTTGGGTGCGTTCTCGACTCTCGTTACAACAATAACGAGTGCTTAACGAGCTCCCCGGAAGTTCAATATTTCGCAGCGAGGTTGAAACTGCTACGAGCCTCGGCGACGTCGGCGTGTCGATAAAATCCTGAAGTCGATAGCGGAATCCGGCTCGCCTCGACGGGAATGAGTCCTCTAGAAAGCGTTTCGTAGAGATGAGAACTTAACGAGAAGGTATCCCCGGCCGACCCACTGGCTCCGATAAATATCATCTCTTCTCAATCTCTCGATGAAAAAAATTCGAGCGCGCGTGATCGTCACATTTTGACGCTTTAATCACGATGTTACGCCTCGGACCGACAAATCGGGATCTAATGGAGCCTGTCGATTCCCGCGCGCACTCGAGACTTGTAACAACCTCGCGTTCGTTTCGATACTGTTCTCTAATGATCAGAACGTACTCTGCAGCTATAAAGTTCGTTCGCTCCATTTATTTCCGAGCCGAGTCAGAAGTTGGCGGACGGTCGTTCGTTCGATTCCCTTTCTCACGCGGTCTGACAGTACAAGAACGACGCGACGTATACGCAGAGGAATACGAGCGCGGCAGAAAGCCAAGAGAAGAAAAGAAAGAGAGAGAGAAAACAGCGAGACGGATGACCGTGGCGAACGATTTCGCGAATCGCGTCTGGTTAGGATATCGCGTTGACGCGCTCTTTGACGCGCGACGCCACAGACACAACACGACCCATTGAAGGGTGCAACGCACTGCCTCCTCCGTTCGCTGCGGACTTCGCAGCGAGATGTCCTGGCGACGCGCCAAATTGCCTGACATACGGCGTCTCCCCCGAGGCGCTGATCCATTTTCGCGACGACGAAATTCGCGAGCCGAGGCCGGTTTATCCCCTCGACACGATTCACGAAAGGAACGGGGAAAGAATAACGGCGCGCGTATGTCTCGTTGGTGCTCCTTTCACGCGGACGGGTACACCCGAGATATATCTCGTGACCGCAGTCGCCTACGTGTCGCTCATTAACCGGACCGGACCGAAAAAGTCGAATTGCCGATTCATGTTACGACACCCTCAAAACTGCGGGGCCGTATCGCTTAGTCACTGGGACAAATTTCGCGACCTTCTCGCTTAACATGGCGTCGGCTCCGCCGCGTTATCAGCTGTCACTTTCCGTCATTTGATGACGACGACTTACATTACACCGGTATCGGTGATGTAAGCAGCTTGCGAAATCATGCCGCCGGGATTGTAATGTCGGTACCAATCTAATAGCGCGCGTTACCTCCGTGTGACAGGTATTTTACATAAATATATAGAATATACTGTATATTGCTGTAGGAAGGATAAAGTCAGCATTAGTAAGAGAGAGTGACAGAAAATAAAATACTTTCTTCGTCTATGTATACGCGATCTCATAATTAATGCATTTTCTATTTCTTCACTATGTCTCTTTCTTTCATTATGTTTCATTCTCTCATTTGTTTCTCCTACACTGAAGTCGACATTAATAAGAGAGTGTGTGTGAGAGAGAAAGAGAGCAATATAGAATAAAATACTTTCCCCTCCCCTTGTTTAATTGTCCAGTCGGTAGAGAGAACGAAGGAGAAGCGATCATGACCAATGCGTTTCCTCTTTCATCATGTTTGCTCTCCCTTTTGTTTCACCTACATCGCTCCCTCCTAGAGTTCTCCGTGTATGACAGAGAAAGCATTTGACTCAGCATATTCCCGTCCTTTAATCTTGTCATCAGCCATAAGAGCACGCAGTCTGTTTTACAAGTCCGCGCCATTTTACCTTCAGAGCGTAAAGAGTCGGACATCTTACGCCCCGCGACGTTGAGAGTCTTAACTGACAGAATTATCACAGCGATGTCGTGAAATATAGGACGCGAGGCCCGGCGATTTCTGACTTCGGCGCGAACCCACATTACATCCGATTAAATTACGCCGCCGCCGTGGGATCGTGTTACAGCGCGGCGGGGAAATTACGAGGGCGAAATTACTTTCTGAAAATCATTGCCGCGATACATACGTACCGTACTACATACGTACGTGCCGGTGCTTAGGCAAACGCGTTACCCGCGACTCATTTACTCGCGGCGGGATCGGATGGCGAGCGCGCGCGAAACGTGCCCGCCGGTCTCTCGCGCTCGCGCTCGTTACACCGCGTTAGTGCGCTCGTTCTTGCACGAAACTGTTCGGGATATACCGCTCTTATTATATATGATACACAAATTATAGGCTCTCTCGTGGAGGCGAGACTAACGGCGCTTCCAGGCCCAGTGGGACCTTTTTTTTTGCGGCACTTTCTCTAGTCGATAAGCACCGCTTCGTTATAAGCAGGAAATGACGCGCGATGTGTTCGACATGTACGATCGATGGAAAATAAGAGAAAAGGTAACACAAACGGATAGAGATGGAAGGAGAGACAGAGAGAAAAAAAGAGACGGCGGCGCGCATATCAAGCAGGCGATACCTGTCCCCACGAAATCGTATTCTAACGCGCTTGTCATTAATAATATTTGTACACACGGCGTTTAACGAGCGACGAACGCTGCCGGGACCAGAAAACGGCGACGTCGCGTTCGTCGGTTCGAGCGAGAGAACCAGTTTGCGTAGGAGCTCGAGAGTAGTAGTAGCAGCGGCGAAATAGAGCGACCGAGCTACTTACTACCGGTTATCTCGATCGACGAGCCGTGGCTAAGGAGATGCGAGGAGGAGACGTCGTCTCCGTGGTCCGCACGCCCTCGTGCTCTCGCACCCCGGACGCTTCGTACCGCGCCCGCGGCTGTCCATGGCCGCGAGTTGCTCGGAGATATCGACAAGTATCGAAAGGATACCCGGACTACACGACTAGTTTTCTCGGGACTGGTCGGTCTTATCTGCATCTCGCGATTGACAATAAGTTAAGTGGTTAACTTAACTTAAGTGGCTAATATATAAATACCCTTGGCGATAAAAGAAAGGAGGAGGAAAAAGAACGCGGAACTCAAAGTACTCTTCTTTCATTCTCTGGAGTCTCCTCTGGTCTCCATTTGTACGCTCGAGTACGCGCGGCGAGATACGACGGCTTAATTTAATCGCGCTCCAAATGGAGAATCACATTCGAGCTTGATTCGAGCTGACAATTATTCGTGATGATGAAATATGGCGAGAGCAGCGCGACTGTCGTTTTCTTTCGGGTCGAATCTTAACTCGTGATTCAACTCAGTGAGATGTGCTCAAACTTTTATCATCAATTCTTTCTAAACGAAAATGAATCTCGAAAAGCACTTAACCCTCCTCCAGATTTAATAATTTTGTTTGTTTTAATGTTATTTTGACGAAAAGCAAAAGATCTCAACGTACCTGAAATATTTTCAAGAAATAAAGTCGCTTTTGCGACTTGCCCGATCGCGTTAAAACTATAGCTTGCCCGGATAAGAGTTAACATGAATGTTTCAAAATTAACCCTCTACGTGCAATTGAATTTGTGAAACCCTTTCGTAGTGGGTTCTGGACAATTTCAAGACTCAATTTCAAAATAGTACAAATGTATTTGCAGATTTTTATTACGCTACTATCTTATAGCTGAGGTTTTCCTGTATCTCTGAAAAAAGATATAAGATATAAAGATAATATAAAGATCAAAAGATATAAAGCCCAAAAAGATACGAAGCTGAGGTTTTCCTGTATCTCTGAAAAAAGATATAAGATATAAAGATAATATAAAGATCAAAAGACATAAAGCCCAAAAAGATACGAAGCTGAGGTTTTCCTGTATCTCTGAAAAAATATATAAGATATAAAGATAATATAAAGATCAAAAGACATAAAGCCCAAAAAGATACGAAGCTGAGGTTTTCCTGTATCTCTGAAAAAAGATATAAGATATAAAGATGATATAAAGCTCAAAAGATATAAAGTCCAAAAATTCATTTCCAACAAAGTCATGTATATGGTGGTCCAAAGCTGTCCGCGTCTGACAGATCCAGATTGTATGTCCCAAAAAATATGATTGTACACGGAGGGTTAACATCATCGAGCTCGATGAATCCGAGATCAGTGTATCGTCGTTATCGGTGTAGTGGTGTACGCGTACATGCGTATGTGCGACGAGCAGTCAACGCCGGTCGCGAAAAATGCGGTCCACCCACGCGAGGTAAACGCGAGCTCGCATACGCGCACGCACGATACGAGTGTCGCGAGCCGGCTCCGATCGATCTAGCGAGGGAACGAACGAAGGAACGAACGAACGATCGGCCGGTCGGTCGGTCGGTCGTTCGTTCGATCGATCCGTGGAAAAGGGAGTACGCCCCCATGTGCTTTCTATTAATAGAACGTCAGTTATTAGCCGCTGCCCACGTAGCCGCGTGTTCGTGCGGTTTCTAGCAAAGTGTCGAGCGCGGAAAGGTGCGCGCGAGAGGTGTTGGCGAGTCGCGGCGTACACAGGGTGTTCCGATACATAAGCTCGAACCT